CCCAGTGCAAGCCAATTTCAGAACACCCTAGACACTTGACAGCTGTTAACTCAGCTCTATTCGTCAAGCGTTTCCTGACTACCTACTGGAGGCTGGCTACCATGCCGAGAATAGAAGCGTGCTTAGAGAGGGTCTGAGAGCTCTAGAGAGAAGCAAAGCCACCATTCCCTTTCTGGGACCTTTGTAGCCTTGTGGAGAGTTCAGTCCCAACTAACGGATCAGGGTCAACCCAGATCATTCCCAGAATTGGATGGAGCCTTCCATGCTTGTTAACATTATGAGGCTTCTTCCAGTTGTGCAGCTTAGCTTTAGGAGAGTCACAAATGGAACATGACAAACTCCCATTACCATTAATATTAGTTGAATTGTAAGTGAGCACAAGGCGTCTGCTGCTCGTGCCGACTGGCTGCACAGTATCCACCGAGCACAGGGCGCCTCTATCCATAGGTGCTAGGGAGAACACAGTGAGGACAGAGTCGTTCCAACAGGAACCCGAGGTGCCATTGGTACAGAAACCCACCTGGTAGAGCAGTTTTTCCAAGATACAGAGCCTCGCTCTTAGTTCCACTTTGGTCCAAATCTGAGCCCTGAAACTTCTTCGATTTTTCTATGCATGAGTTTTGTCATCTCTAAACTAGGGGTCAGAACGCTACCTCTGGCCCAGGGGTGTTGTGAGGATTCAGTCATGTCAAGTGCTGAGCGCTCTGTTTGGGGCTGGAAGGGCAAGTAAAGACCGGCGGCTGGGATGGTCCATGGATGAGGCTGTGTGCTTACAGCCAGGTGCCGGACCTCACCTGCCTGCTGGCTGCTCAGCCATCACATGGAGCAGTGACACCGACCTTGTGCTCCCTCCCTTGCCTGATGGGGACGTGGAACAGATCATGGAAGTGAAGCACCAGAGCTGAGCAAGTACTTCACTGAATCAGGTGTGTTCACCCTGGCTGCATGTTAGAATCTCCTATGGTGCTTTTCAACATTAACATATTTTTTTTTTAATTTTTTGTTTTGAAAAAGTTTTCTTTTTAAAGATTTTATTTATTTATATGACAGAGAGTGAGAGAGAGAGCACAAGCAGGGGGAGTGGCAGGCAGATGGAGAAGCATGCCTCCCCGCAGAGCAGGGAGCCCGATGCAGGACTCGATCCCAGGACCATGAGATCACGACCTGAGCCAAAGGCAGACACCCAACAGACCGAGCCACCCAGGCACCCCTTGTTTTGAAAAAGTTTTAAACTTACCCAGAAAAAGTTGCAAAAATAGCACAGAGAGTTCCTGTATACCCTTCACCCAGCTTCCCCTAATGGTAGCATTTTGCATCATTATGGTCCAATGATCAAAACTAAGAAATTAACAGCAGTGCAAAACTCTTACCCAAACGACAGACTTTATTCTGATTTCACCAGTTGTCCGGCTGATGTCCCGGAACTCCTCCAGGACCCACGCCAGGATCCCTTTGCGTTTACTTATCCCGGCTCTCAGTCTCCTCCTGTCTGTGACCGTCCTTCAGCCTCTTCTTTCACAACGTCGTTATCACTGGAGATCCCTCACTTTGGATTTGTGTGATGTTTTCTCATGATCGGATTGAGGCTGTGCATTCCTGGGGAGGGTACTACAGAAGCAGTAAGCCCTTCCCAGCAGCCCGCGTCAACCGACACATGATGTCAAATGTCTTCTTACTGGCAATGTTAACCTTGATCCCTTCCCTAAGGTGGTGCCTGCTGGGTTTACTCACTGCGAAGTTACTGTTTTTCCTTTTGTCATTAATAAATATCTTGGGGGAGATACTTCATGCAAATAACCTATTTCTCTTCATATTTTTTCCCAGTAATGTTTCATTCATCGGCACACCTGGTCTGCAACAGTTACAAGGCTGTTTTAGTGGTGATTTCTCTATTCCCTCATTCTCTCTGGATTTGTTAATTGGAATTCTTCTGTAAGGAAATGCCGTTTCTTCTTCCTCATTTATTTATAGATTCAGTTATTTATCGAAATCCTCATGGACTTACGGGTATTTCTTTTATTTTATGGGTTTCATAGTCCAGTACTACAATTATGTACTTTGATACTCAAACCTAAGTCACTTTTTAAAAAAGAGCCGTGCCTGGGACCCTCTCCCAAATCAATTAAACCCAAATCTGTGGAGGTAGAACACAGGCCATGATATTTCTTTAAAGCTCCCTGTGTGCACCGAATGTTCCTTCTTTCACTAATCCCACCACCCCACTCTGCTTCCTCCCTAAAGAAACCAGAATCCTTCGGCACATCATTTGGCAGGATTTATTCCGAGGTGGCCCTTGAAGTGCTGACGACAGGCTGCGGCTGTAGCCCCTTGGGACACTGGCTCTTCGATGATCTCCGCCACCCCCCGCCCCCATACCTCCATTCCCTCAGCTTCTGCTGGCCCCCAAACAGGAACTTGGGGCCCAGAGTCCTCCTTTACAATGATAGCCTCCTGATGTGGAAATTCCGCTGATATCTATTGCTCTTGGGTCAGGTGGAGGAAGAAAAAGCTACGGCAGCCTTTAGGAAGTCAGGTTTGAGAAAAGACCTAAGGAATTATGACCTTGCACTAGGAAGGGCTTCCTGAATGCAACAGTGGATTACAGCGGATGGCAGCCTGTTCCTGCAGGTGCTTTGGCTCTGCCTTCTCAAGGCCCACAAAGCACTCCTCGGCCATTTGGGCAGAGTTTTAAAATGTGGAAACAACCCCACTTATTTGGACCCTTTTGAAATCATAACAATTAAATGTGTAAATGTAATTCTCCCTCTGGAGGATCAATAGGGAGCCAGATAAGTTTTTATTCCAAGAGATGGTCTTCCTGAATAAAGAAATTGATCTTCTAGCATCCTTTAGCTGGTTTCCAATTTCTCTGTATTCCGAGGTGCCAACTCAATCTCATGATATTTTTAGAAGCTTAATTGTTTCTTTCATCAGATTGATGCCAGTAATATGTTCAAAGTGCAGATAAATCAGATTTAAAACCTAATTGATATTGGAATAAAAACTTAACCCCAAGTATACCATGCCACAGTGAATTTGGCATAGTTCCCCAAATTATGCCATATGAACCTGGGGACATTTGCCTCATAAATTTCTATCTTGTTTATTCTTTTCTTCATGGTGGTCAGTTCCAACTTGAATTCTTCCTAGAATGCATTTTCTGCATTGAAAATACCCTCTATTAAAATTTTAAGGGGATTCCAATTTCTGGAGTAAGCAAAGAAGTGAACTCTATATTAACTAGACAGGATTGGATCTGATGTTTCACTGTAGAACACAGAGCTACTTCTGAGACAAGCATGAGAGAGATGCAAAGTATTAATTCAGCATAGCATCCAACTCAGGATGAGGAATGTTTAAATGCTGCATGACAAAAATAAATCTCTCTTCCTGGAAGAACTTTAACCTCAGAAGAGAGGCAGCTCAAAAGGTTTATTGTTGTCAGAGCCACAAACTTGACACCCCTCTTGATAAAAGACTTCGATCCCTGACCTCAGTAAAGTTGCTACTCTGGAAGCTATTTGTGTATTGATCTCCTCTGAAGAAAACAAATAGGTGTCTAGCAGGATGAACATCTCTGGGAAACAAAGTTACTGTACTTAGAGTAGAGCCCGAGTGACCGCAGTGGGGACCCCAGGGCACCAGGTAAGGAAAGGTGATTTGCCTGAGCCTTTTAAGAAAAGCACTAAAGCTCTGCATCAAAACCAGTTGGTGAGTGTAGCTCAAGCAGGAAGGTTTACCTGCTGGGATACCTTGACTAATTTTATCATCTAGACTTCAAGATGGAAGAGGTGGCGTGGACTGGACTAGAATGGAAACCGGTGTGAGACCAGGGCTCTTTGGGGGCTAGATATTTTAGTAACCCTACAACAGGGCACCTAACCGCCTCAACACATTAATCCTTTGCACACTACCTTGAAGAAATGAGCCAGTGTTTTTCATTTGAGGTGAAATAGGGATAGAGAAACAAAAATGCTGGGGCTATTGGGCTATAATGCAAGGATTTGAGGATTTGGAATTTCTGGGTTTAGAGACTCTGGATTTGAGTCCATCATCTACCTAGAGCAACAAGAAGAAAATGGTGGCATTGTGCTTGCTGTCTTTGTTCTGTGGGCTCAAACTAGGATCATCAACTTTCCATGTTGGAAGAGAAATTGTCTTTAGATGTTTGCTGTTTAGCTGCTAACTCCATATAAATTTCTTTCAACAACAGAAATTCAAAAATTATTTATTGAGTACCTACTAAGAACAAGACAAAGGCCTGCCCTCATGAACAGACTATAAACAAGTAAACTACAGCAATTCTGGAGAGGGATTAATGCTGTAAGGAAAATAAGCCTGACAGAGAGAGAGAGCAAAAAGACAGGCATCAGGTAAAGCCTCTCTGTAGAGGACACATTGAAGTCAATACCCAGCGGTGAGAAAGAGTGAACTGGTTAGGAGTGCATTACAACCAGGTGACTGCCTTCACGTGCCAAGACCTGAAGGTCAAGCTTGGCAGAGCTGATGACCAGAAAGGCCAGTATGGCTGGAGCATAGTGGGCAAGGCTGGGTTAGGAAAAGGCTCTGGAAAGAACCAACTCATGTGACACCCTATAAGGCATGCTTTTATTATAATTAGAAGCCTCTGGAGGATTTGGGGCAGTGGTGTGGGGAGGGAGATGTGGTGTGGTTTTGTTTTGTAAATATCTTTGTAGCTGCTTATGCTGAATAGACTATAAGGGCAAGAGTGGAAGAACTATAGTGGGGTCATAGTAATATGTAGTTTCTAAATCCCAAACACCTGCAGGTCCTGTGGTTTACTTTTAATCTCTCTCTTTGATAATGATGCTCAGTGCATTTATTTCACAACCTCAAAACCTTTCCACTTGCTTTTGTGTATACATCAGAAAAACCCTTTGTTGCATTTTCACTTGGAAATATACGTTGTGCTCATCAGCTTAACCAGTGAAAGGAATTTTTTTTCCCCTTTACTCAGTTATCTCATTTTCCTCCTACAGGGATCCCAATCACCCTTCAGTACCTTATCACTATTATGAACCGTTTGGACCTGATGAATGTACAATGTACCTCTCGCATGAGCGAGGACGGAAGGGCAGTCATCATCGCTTCATCACGGAGAAACGTGTCTTTAAGAACTGGGCACGGACATTCAACATTCACTTTTTTCAACCAGACTGGAAACCAGAATCACTCGCTCTAAAGTCTCCGGAGAATAAACCTGTGTTCTGATCAGTGAGGGTGCCAGACCAAAATCCCAAGTACCTACGGTCTCAGACGCCGGGGCACTGAACTTCCGGAGCCAGCAGACACAAAAGGGGGACAGAATCGGGAGAGGAAACTCAATAAGCAGTATGTACAGATGCCTCAGAGGCGTGACTCCCAAGCAGTGCAGTTGGTCTGTAAGGAGAAAATGCCAGAATAGGTCCTCATGAGTGTCATCCCTTGCAAAAGGGGTTACCTTAGGAGTGAAACACCCATGTCAGTGATGCTGCCGTGGCTAAAGAACATTCTGGATCTCTTTATTGCCTTCAAAACTGAAACACGAGCAACTCAACCATGTTAGTTGTGTTCCTTTGTAGAAATGCCAATTGAAGGATGTTTTTCTATCAAGTTGTTGTATCCTAACCTGATCTATAATCTTTGTCATCTGTTGGGCTCTGTATGTGTGATTTGTAAAAAGCAGTCTGAAAGTATGGACATGATTTCTGAAGAGCACATCTCCACTGACTTTCATAAAGCAAATGCCCAATATTTATTTATTAAGAGTTTTTTAGTGTAACTCTAGGCCAGTATTTTTATAGATGATGATTATGTGGTAATTTTTCCTTCTTAACTCTTTAACACTGAGTGATGGTTGGAAGACATCTAGAATGGGACTGGTGAGTGACTGGGTTCACGACGCTCATTGTTAGCATGCGGTTGGCTTGGAAATGTCGTGTTGTGTTTTTTGAACCCTTAGGCTTCAAGAAGAACTATGACATTTTCTAACGTAAAGAAATTCTCCAAATGACAAAACTGAAAACCAAAAACTGTGTTATTACAACAAAAAGATACTAACAAAAGAAACTTAAAGATAGTTGTCTTTAGTAATAGTTGGTGTAGGTTACTTGGCATAAATCCCAGTTTCCTCGTCTTAGAATGATGTCCCTGTACCAGATGGCCGCCTAAGTTTCCTTCCAAATCTAAAATTCTGTAAGCCTCTCATTGACCCATTTGAGGACCTTGCACTTGGAATGATATGGTTTCTACAGTAGCAAAAGCCTGATTTTAGGGGTTTTTTTTATTCTCCTACCATCTATCTCCCTCTGTGGTTAAGAACATAACTTCCTCACTGGCTACTGTCTACCCCCTGCCTCTCTGTGTTTCTTGCACCTAAAAAGGTGTGTGTGTGGGGGGGAAACTAAGAGAGAGAGGACCTCTGTGGTATTCCCTGGCTATAGGAACAAGGAACATCCTTTCTCTGAGTCTGTGAGAAGGAGAACAGAACACAAGGTGATTCCCTATCATATGACTCATTTATCCTGTGTACTATTCAGATTCACTCCTTGCAAGTCACAGCCGTTCCCTGGTCTGGAGGAGTCTGAAGGACTTATTTTATTCAGAACCAAGATAGCAGTATGAAGGACCTTCATTTAAGCAAGTGAAATTCTTCAAAAATAGTCTTTTAAATATACCAGTGTTTTTTTTCCCACACGACTTAGAAGGCATGCATTTTTTTTTCCAATGCCCAAATCGAAGGCACCAGCAAGTATTACATATGGAGACTGCCATTGTTTTACAGAACATGACCTGACCTGTGATTAAAGGTTTTTCACATTGCCACTTCCTTTTCCTTTCCTTAATTAGTACTAAGATTCCATTCCCTTGCACTAACTAGTACTACTAATTATATGGGGTACTGTGGTTGGGGTGCAAACACAGTCTGGATGATTATATGGCAGAAACAAAGTTGGGATTATTGTGGTGTAGCTTGAGCTGTTAAATTGTACAATTGAAATGTATGTGCTCTCTTTAAACTTTATCATAGTTTTTAAAGAGACTGTAGAATTTTATTCCAGCACAATCTCTTCTGCAGCATGTACTCTGGACACACAATACTTTGTGTGACGTATGAAAGAGTATGAATTTCATGTGATGGATTTATAGGCCACCTTTACCATCACTTGAAGACATTACATTGTTCAGATGTAAGTAGCTCCTTTAACAAGTTTTATTTTTATGGAAATTTGGAAAAGTGTAATTGGGACATGCAAAAATGTAGCTGTATTACCTAATCTAATAATATCTCAAATGTCTATGTTGTCTTTAGGTTTTAGGATTTGGTTTTTGTTTTGTTTCGTTTTTTTAAAAAGACCATATGATAACTCCATCTTTTTTGTAACTTCTTCCTCCTTCCCAAATACTCAAGAGTGTAAAGCAACCAAATTCTGAAATCTTTAGCTTCACTGAGAAATAGCTTAAATCTAAATGTAGCTAACATATGGGAGTATAGGAATTTATATTTTTAAAAATATGGTATAAATAGGTATGAGACCAATCACTTGGGCGGTGGTTTTTATTACAACATTTCAAGAAAATGCCTAGAATTCTGAATAGATTGTGCCAACGGAGCTGGCTGTGGGCAACTGAATTCTTATCTTGCCACTATCATCTCCTGACTTTCCATCTCAACACCATCCAACACCATTAAACATGGTGTTATAAAAGATAGATATCTGATATAAAAGATGGTGATAGAACCATGTTTACAGACCTCAGTGATTTCAATATCCAATTGTACTGGGAGACTTAGTCATACTCGTTATGTTAGACACCTTTTTCTTCTTTCCCAGCTGTGTCATCACAGCTACCTCCTAGGTTTTACCTACCATAAAAGCTACCTCCTAGCTTTTAAGACCCCAGTAATACAAAGCCACAGCTGGTCAATCCATGGCCTGTGTGATTTCAACGCAAGAACATTTGGCAGAGGCCATTATAACAGATAGCCATTATGGGCAAAGATACAGGAATTCACAAACAAAATCAATCACTTCAAATGGCCTATAAAAAGAAGAATCTTACATTTAATATTCTACAGCAAATATTCACCCAAGAAAGCGTACATTAAAAGAACATTAGGAGGTAAATACTCAGTGTGCTGTGCGGGGACTTTGCTGTGTGATTTCTATTATGGTTAATGGGTGTTTGGTAACTAAGTCCCTGTGCTTCACTAACCCTGGGATGTGCTCCTAAGGGCTAGACATAAAACCAGAGTGATTCAGGAACTCCCAAGGTCCTAAGATTTCAGAGTGAGAGCTTTTCTTCAAAAAAATAAATGAAAGCAAAACACAAAATACTGTACCTGAAAGAGAAATTTGTGTGTGGTCTCTCGGAATCCTGACATTACTGTCAGGTACATGCATCAGATTCCAAACAACACCTCTCAGGGACAGATTGCCTTTGTTTCCTGAAATATTCTCCATTACCGATCTATTTTAATTACATTAAAATCGAAGGATATAACCTTATTTTGAAGTAAAAACTCACCTCAAAAGTTAGAATTATTGATTTGGAAACTAAATGAATGCTAAGTAAAAGTGAAAGGAACAAACTGGAATTTTGTCAGAATTCATAGTCTTATGTGAACATATCCATACCTGTTTAATACCCACCCAAATAATTGCCCTTATGTAGGAGTGACCTCATTTCGGAAATATACCCTGAATTCCGCTGGGGTGGTGATTCAGACTGTTAATTCAGACTTACTCTGAGATTCCTCTTCTCTCTGCACTGTTAGGACGTGAGGGTAACACTCCTACTTATTTCGTAGCTGAGCCAATTCTTCCTTCCATCTTCACTGCTTCTCTCTGGAACCTCAATCCCATCCTGCCATCATTTTCTCCTGATTGCCTTCTTTTGTCTACCCTGGGCTCTTCAACCAGCAGTCTTTGGAGGCTGTTAAGGTCTTCCTTGTAGGTTTTTAAACTAGAGACCTACCCGGGGAACACGTTTGGGGTGGACCCTGCCAGGCAATGAGCGTAGTGGGCGGGGGGACTACATTTGGCTCTAGGACTAGCTTCTTCAGAAGTGCCGTCCTGGTTCACCCCAGGCTGGGGGAAGGGGTGGGGGGAGCTCCAAGACAGACTGTCAGTGCTAAAGCTAGGACAAGTCCCGGGCAAACTGGGACAGTGGGTCACCCTACTGAAAAGCCACCTCAAAGAGAACTATAACACTGAGGCACTGGGGGGAAAAGTGAATCCACTGCCCAGGTTCTAGCACATGCCAGAAGATACTTTGGAGTGGAGAGAGGTGAGAGAGTGTCTGTGGGCTTGAAAATGAATAGGAACAAGCCCTCTATTCCAGCTCACTCGTCCCCACCTACTCAGGGCACTGAGCCACCATAGAAAAGCAAAAAAAGGCTGCGATCCTGTTTGTTTTTACTCAGTGCCCTAATATTCTATTCTACCTTGGATTGTTCTTGTCTCTTTATGTATTTGTCCTATTAGTCTAATTAGACTGTAAGCTCTTTGAGAGCAGGGACTGTTTCTCCTTTGTCTTTGTAGCCCCGAGTCTAGTTCAGTGTCTTGCACACAATAGGCGCTCAGTAAATGTCTGTTGTTGATGATGACCTCTTAATGGTGGCCCACTGGATTGGTAACCCGTAGGTATTCTTCCATTTGAGAAGTGCAGGAGACAGAATAGGTGATGAAGTAGTTAAATTTTAAGTGGGTTTTTACAGGGTCGGTCCTCAAACCTATAATGTTTTTAATCAACAGAACTGACCTGGATTTGGGTAGGATAATGTAGCTGAATTCACTAGGCTTGTTAATGTTGGCTGTACTGAACACACAAAGTGAAGTTCAGCAAGCTTTGTGTTCTCGCTGGTAGCAAGCTGCTCTTAGCACAAGTTAAATTTAATATTGACAAATGCTATAACACATGTAGAAGCAGCCCAGGCTCTGACTCCTCTGGTTCAACTACAAAAGGGAGGCTAAAATGAGATGAGTTCTAGCCTATCTTAAACTTGACAGCTTCCCAAAGCTGCTGGGAATTCCAACTGGTGACTTCTGAGGGTCTATAACAATTAAGTATACGTTTATCTTAAAACCAAAATGAAACAAACAAAAACCCCCAAAACCCTTTTGTTTCCATGAAGCAGATCCCAAATGCTTTCATCCCTACCAGAACGTGAGGGGAAAGGAGAACTCTTGGGAGAAGTTGCCCTCAGGTGGAGCACCCCGGTCACCATC